GCTTCCTCCTCCTCCTCCACCTCCAGACATGGAGCCTCTCCTGCCAGAGCTGCTGCCACCACCAGTGCTCATCCCTCCACCGTGAGCACTGCATCTGCCACTGCCAGAGCTGGATCCCCATCCTCCAGAGCTGTGGCCACCTCCAGACATAGATCCTCCACTGCCTGAGCTTCCTCCTCCTCCTCCACCACAGATGGACCCACCACTGCCAGAGCTCATTCCTCCATGACCTGAGCTTCCTCCTCCAGACTTGGACCCACCACTGCCAGAACACCATCCTCCATGACCTGAGCTTCCTCCTCCACCTCCAGACATGGAGCCTCCACTGCCTGTGCTTCCTCCTCCATACCCTGAGCCTCCTCCTCCACAAACAGACTTCCCACTACCAGAGCTGGATTCCCATCTGCCAGAGCTGTCACCACCCCCAGAGATGGACCCTCTATCACCTTGGCTTCCCCCACTTCCATACCCTGAGCCTCCTTTTCCTCCACAAATGGACCCACCACTGCCAGAGCTGGATCCCCATCCTCCAGAGCTGTGGCCACCTCCAGACATGGAGCCTCCACTGCCTGAGCTTCCCCCACCTCCATACCCTTGGCCTCCTCCTCCTCCACAGATGGACCCTCCACTGCTGGAACTTGATTCCCATCCTCCAGAGCTTCCACCTTTTCCTCCTCTAGAGATCGCCCCTTTGCTTCTGTTCTTGCTGGCACCGCCAGGGCTCAGCCCCCCCTTCCCACTTTTCAAGCCTCCAGATCCTACTCCAAAGACTCCAGTGGCACTCGTATTGTGGTCAATGACACCTGCAAGAAATGGAAATGATGTCCACCTTATTCTTTTACCCCCAAAAATTATAAGCACAACTCATATAAGGACTTATCTGTGTCCATCATTGTACCTAATCTAGTGTTCATCGTCATCTCTTTGAAAAAAGGCAACAAGGATCTTCATTAGTAGCTGTAACTGTGGAACGTTTTCTCCTGTGGTTCTGTCTTTATTACCTTATCTTTAACATGACTTATGTCTTACTCCATACATGAACACTCAGTGCAGCCCTTCCTGTACCAAGGCCAAGAGTACGGGTTTCTCTCTCCTTTAGCTGGCCTCCTATTTCCACAAATTTTAGGACTAGTTTTTTTTTTTTCTTCAGTTCTGACATGCACCGTACAGACCTATAGAATAAGTGCGGTGTTTCCCACTTCCTACAAATTTGGTTGAAAGTAGCCAATGACTTCCAAAGTCAGTAGCTCAACGTTGACATATTAATGCACATACGCATGTATTCACACGCACGCTCACAAGAGACTACTATTTGCTTCATTTCCCTAGGAAACTAAGATAGGAACTAAAAAAGGTTCTTCTGATGGTAGGTGTTAAGTACCACAGACAACAAAACGGAAACGATGCTCTTAAAAAAGCAAAGCAAAGCCTTGCGATACTTACAGATTGTGGCTGGTGAGCCTTCCTGTATCCTGTGAAGGAAAAGTGACATTGAGATAATGCATCCAATAAAAGTAAAAGTCGAGCTAGACTCTATCAGTAAACCAATGAAAGCAGTCACTCCTTCCAGGCAGCAATTCATCCTGGAGATCTAAGTGACAGATCGAAGAATGGGACACGCTGCTTTGTGCAGGTGCTTCTATCCAGGGTGAATAGTTTGTACCTACCTGGTCTCCTCCTCCTCAAGGAGTGATCTATACATGGCAATTTCAATATCCAGGGCCAATTTCACGTTCAGGAGCTCCTGATAATCATGAAGAAGGCGAGTGAGATCATCTTTGGCCTGCTGCAGGGCATTTTCCAACTCCTGAAGCTTTTGCTGGCCATCTTTGACGGCAGAGCTCCCATGCTGCTCAGCATCTTTAATGGTTTCCTGGAGGCCGGCATTCTGCAGAGGGCACAAACAGAACGTGTCCATTTCCCTTCTACAGCACTGGGATTTTCAAACCCTTCTGGCCATCCTTGGAAATTAAAAGACCTGCCTCAATGACAGAACTCAGAAGATACAATTAGACTGCGTAAATTAACCGAAATTAAATCCCAATGTAGACAGGCAAGATCTAAATCTACTTCATTTTGAAGAGAAAACATCATCTCTAGGTTTGCCTCCAAAGGACAGGCTATGTTATACCGCACTGAGTCCCCATGCAAAAGTTACTTAAATAGCTTAATCATGTTGGAAAGTATCAGCTTTACCTTTTTCCTTGCAATTTCAACTTCTGGTTGTAGTCTTTGGATCTGCCTGGCAAGTTCCTGGATTTCCTGATAACTGTTCCTCAGTTGCTCACGTTGATTTACCCACATGTTCTGAAGGTCCTGGTACTGATGTGCAGAGAAGAGAAGAGACATTTTTGGTTTCTTTTCCATTGAGCAGACAGACTTGCCTCCCTGTCTTGTTGATGTCTACTCACCCTGCCCCGATACATGTCATCTACTTCAGCTTTGCTTCTCTGAGCAATTGTCTCATACTCCTGCCTGACTTCTTCAATGATGCCATCCATGTTCAGTTCTCTGTTGTTGTCCATGGACAGAATGACATTGGTGTTGCCAACTACTGTTTGCAGCTGGGACAGCTCCTGCAAGGAAAACAAGATTTTAGATTTTAACAGTCCATGTGAGCAGTCCAGGTCATGTTATGAGGAAAGAAATGGGACCCTCTGGCCAGTTACCCACTGGAACTTCCCTACCTGCACCCCTCAGGTCCTATCGTTCCACCACCAGTTTTAATTTTCAAGTGTCTCTTCCAGCCTTCGTGACACATCAGACCCCCTTTTCACTCACAGATTAAAAAGGACTTTATAAGATCAGAGGCCAAGGATGAGCCACTCTCCACACCAAAAAGTCCTGTTCAGGCAAAATTTCTGGGAACCTCCAAAAGATACATGTCCTTCAAGACCCGAGGGTAAGTTTTTAATCTGAGAAGCATACTCACAGCTTCATGTAAGCATCTGAGGAACTCAAGCTCCTGCTTCAGTATTTCCACCCGAACATCAAACTCCATTTTTCCCATGTAGGCACTGTCCAGTTCCTGTAAAAAAAGCCATAGGCATATTTGTATTTCTTTGATCCAAATTCTCCACTGAAGTGCAATTCTTGCAAGACTTCATACATTTCTTTAAAGCCTTCATTCCTGAAGTCAAATAATGGCTCACGAATCTCAGATTTCATTTTAAAAGCTATTGGAACAAAGGGAAAGTTTTTGGAACAAAGGGAAAGTTTTTCACTCTTAGAAGAAAAGAATGGCTTGGAAATAAGCAAAATAGCTGTGGCAATAAATGTGTTCCTGGAGAAAATGCAAAATGTAGAAACGTAGATTTCTTTCTAGACAACTTTAAAAGTTGTCTGAATTTTCTCTTCTCCTGTCTAAGCCATCTGTAGACATCACTTAACCCCTAATAATGACGTCTCACCTAGGTTGTGACTGAGTGAATAGAGAAAGACCAGCACTTTTTAGATATTCATCTTACTAAGGACCGATTCAGTCTCTAGAGGAAATTATTTCTCTCCAGTCTTGCAGTAAAAAGCTCAGGTTTTCAATTACTTCAGTTAGAGGAAAATTAGACGAAGTTAAGCAAAGACCTTGCTTTTGAAAACCTCAGCAACCATCCAGTTATTGCTTTATTTCTGAGGCTTTGATTTAGCTCAGTGTCTTGGATTACTTCACCTTTTTAAGCTCCACAAACTCCTCTTCTTTAGACGCACGCTTGTTGATCTCGTCCTCAAATCTGTTGCAGCAGAGAAAAGAAAAAGGTAGCTCATTGCCCATCTCACTTTTTCAGTCAGGTGGATCAGAAACCAAAGGGAATCATCCAAAAAGGGAATGTGTCAAGTTTTCATTTAACTGCAGTTTCTGGCAACTGCAAACCCTCTGCAAAACTATATGCTAAATAAGCCAACAAAATGGGATAGATGTAGATCTGTTCTAACATCCCTGTAATTCGGAACTAAACTTCCCATTTTACACCCATCTTTTGGGTGCAGCTAAGCCAGAAGAGGTGACGACTCTTCTCAACTTGACCCCACTGCTCAGCTCTGTCCCTCCCCACTGTCCAGCTTGACCACAATTCCACAACTACCAGCAGGAGTAAGGAGTCCCGGGTTACTCGTTGCTTGGGGGAGGAAGGGCATGAAGGAGGACAGGACGAGAGAAGAGTGGGATAGATCTACAGGGCCTTTCATTTTCCTCTTACTGTTCTGGATTCTACCCTCACCAAATCCGCTTTAGTCTTCCAGCGTCCAAGTCAAGTCCCATAATGAACCTACTGCAGAGTAGTGCTACAATGGCTACAAAACTCTTGAAGGTGCGAAGCTGAGCTGTGCCATCCCCGGGCATGATTAGCATTGCCTTGGAAAATTCCAGTATGCTTTTTCCCAGACTTGTGATTATTCACCTCTTTTTATAATCTTCAACAAGCTGAAGCATATTGTACGCTTCTGGATCCAGCTGCTCCTTCTGGTTCTGGAGCGTTTCTAGCTGCCTCTGCAGGTTGCTGATGTAAGATTGGAAGAAAGAGGCGATATTTCTGCTCTCTTCTGGTCGGGCACTTTGCTGCTGCAGAAGTTCCCATTTGGCCAGCAGAACCTGGTTCTGCCGCTCAAGACATTGAACCTGAAAGGCAAAGCAGAAGAGAGTCTCAGCCACTGGAAAGCACTGGGGGAAGCACCGACATCAGCATTAGTCCCCATAGCAAAACAAATCCTAATTAATATTTCCAAAGCAGTAACATCTAGAGGTTTCGTCAGGTGGCACCAACTGTGGTAACGCTGGTACCAACGCACGAGACAGCTTAGACTAAAGCGGGGGACACCTCTTTTTTTCCCAATCTGTTGCGTAAGAAGGGTATGATTTTACTGCTGCTTCTCAAAGCTGATACAGAAATCTTTGCTGTGCGTCTCTTAAATGAACAATACTTAGGGGGATGATTGGGGCCGGGGGAGACTTCAGCTCTTTCTGAAGTACCTTAGACACTCAAATACACGAGAAGAGTTTGCTCCCTCTCGGAAGACCACACAGGACCACTCTCTTCCTAGATATACCTTGCCTTAGAGAAGAAGGTCAGAAAGACCTATAACATGCAGAGCTAGTATTTTTGGAAACCGGAGGGATAGCATGTCTTCAGCTGGGCCACTGAACAGGTTATAACCTGGAAGCTGACATCCAGAAGTTTTAAAAAAAAAAAAAAAAAATCCTATTTTTCAGGACTAAGCATGCTTAAAACTTCTGGGTGTAACCAACACCTTTTCTGTAGGGTAATACAAGAAGCCCTTAAGTCTTCACGTGTAACAAATAATACAAGCTTCCACCCTGTGCAGAGACACAGGGCACCACCCAAACAAAGGCACATGTCGGGTCTGTGTGGGTGGACGTGTTTTTGTGGCTGTTTTGTTCCTGTGTCTGTGAGTAGAAATGAAAGAAGACAAGACTGCAGACAGAGGTGAAAATATTGTAGTGTAAATCAAGAAAGAGGTAAAGAAAAAAAAAAGATGTGGGGGCCACTGGCCACCTGAAAGAGGCTAGGACCTCCAAGCAAAGAATTAATTTGATTTGTAATTTGGAGAAATGCAACATTTTGCTTTGCTTGAGAAAAAAAAAAAACAAAACACATCAAGGATGTCCAAGTCCATCACCCGTTTTTCCTGCTAGCATCAACAATTCCCAGGCAACAGAATATTACTAGCCATGCAGAAACCCTTTTCCTCAAAAGACAAGTGAGTTAATGTGGCAGTGAGATCCTAGTAGTTTGTTATTGTCCTGCCACAAAAGACGACTCAGAGATACTTATCCCAGGGCTAAATGTAAGTGATTCATGCAGCAGCGTTTATAGCAGGCTATTAAGAATTTCACACCAGCAGAAGGGAATCTAGGCAGCGCTGTGATTTTTGGGGGGAGAAGATGCAATGTGAAGGTGTCCCCATGACTCACACAAGCAGAGCAGCACCCCTTATATTTCCCCCTTCCCAGATAACAAGTAAAAAAAGAGAACAGGGACTCACCTTATCAATGAACGATGCAAATTTGTTGTTGAGAGCCTTAATCTGCTCTTTCTCATCTGACCGCACTCTCTGGAACTCGGGGTCAACTTGTACTTGTATTGGCCTCAGCAGGCTGGTATTGACACGGACCTCCTCGATGCCTCTGCTAACACCAGCCTGCCCAAAACCCTGTCCAGCCCCTTGTTCACCAAAGGCACTTCTACCAAGGCCTCCTCCAAGCACCTCCCTGCCTGAACTTCTTCCATACATGCTACCAAGCCCTGCTTCACCACCTTGAAAAGCTCCCACAAAGTATTCTCTTCTACCAAAGCCCCTATCAAGATGTCTCCTACCACCAAATCCCAGGCACCTCCCATATCCTCCTCCTCCTCCTCCATAGCCTCCACCAGTAGAAACATTCCTAAACCCACCAAGGTTGTAGAGACTCCTGCTGCCATAACCATACCCATAACCACCGTATCTTTCTTCTCCTCTGTTGTCTTCCCAGCCGCTTATAGTAGATAAGCTTCTCCCACCACCCAGTATGCCACAGTGAGCAGAAAAAGAACTGAAGTTCCCATCCCCAAATCTGGAGAAATGGTGGCTCATAGCGTCGCTTTCAGAGCGTCAAGAGAAGACAAGAGAGCAGATGGAGAAGGCTGTAAAACAGGAGGAGAAATGAGAGTGAAGGATCCTCAGCTCCTCTGGTGGGGGTGACAGAAGTTCTCCTTTATATGTTCTGGAGGAGTTAGTCTCCATTCCGTGGTAATTAGCAGGTCTGTTAATGTTGTTATTGGGTTTGGTTCATCAGGCAGCAATTAGTGGCTGCCTGAAGAGAGGTCAGAGTAAACACCACACACCAGTGGAGGAATTGTGAAATTCCCCAAATCCTGCTTGACTCATGAGCTTTGCTCAGATGAGATTTCTTTATCTCATCAGCCTGTCCTCCATCATTAATTACAGTTCGCACAGTTATCCATGCACATTACCATCGCTTGTTCTCTCTCAAATTTCCCCACCTCTTTTGGCATTTCATTTCATGAGACAGAAGGCCTTGATATTGTCCTCATATTGACTTGGGGGTGGCTCACCTTGCTTCACCACATCACCGGGAGTGCCTACTACGGAAAGCAAAGACTACAGCTCCCTTAGCTTCCCGTCCTCTCTTTTCTCTCATTCCCAGTATATCCACCTCTGAGTAAGTATTGCTTCTACAGGGAGAGGGAGGTGTTGTGATCTGGTCTTCTTGCTAATGGCATTAAAAAAAAAAATCTGCCTTTGGTTCATAAAGCTGAAATAGTGTCTAGAAAACAGAAAAAATGGAATCTCTCTGTATCAATTTTGGCTTTAAATAAACGGATACAGAGCTGTAAATGGAAAAGAGAAAGCTCTGAGATAAACTTTAATCAATTAAACCAATCTTTTAACTATTAAAGATTAATATGAGGTCACCGTAGGGAACAGATGACCCATATCACTTCCATAGACTAGGACTCTTGGCTGCTCCTGCTCTTCCACGTGGGAATAGTTAGACCATGAACTAAAACTGCCTGTTTGTGGGGTGTTTTAAAGGCCCCACCACTGGATAGCTGAGATGTCAAATACAGAGCTGGGCTCCAAGCTTTTCTACCCAGATTCTCCCACTGATCTGCCATCTGCTTGATCCATCCCACTTTCTTCTCCTCATCCCTGTGCAAGACTCCACCTTTCCAGTCTGAGCACACTCCGGTGCAAGACTCCATGGCCATGGACTCGTTAAAAAGCATTTGGGAGCCAAATCCTACTGCTGACGTGCCACTGAGAGTCTTCAGCCTTGACTAATATCTCAAGAAGACAACTGAGATCTGGTACAGTGTCTCCAAAAGCACTGGTGGAACAATTTCCACGTGGCAAGCACCTCCCTTTTGTCCCCTACACAACATTAGGAAGAGCTGGGCTTCACCTGATGGGATGCTCTTCCTTCCAAAGGTGCTGGCTAAAGCCACGCTGTGAACCCTTCAGTTATATAGAGGTTACGTGGTCAGGGCTCTGCAATCCTTGCTCCGGCTGCATTTGGAAAGTGCCTCGTAAATCCCCTAAATGAAAGGTTTGTAGGGAGAGGTTATTAAACCAGCTATTATTAGACCAGCTGAAATATCTTGAGGTGGACAAGATTTCAGATGCTCAGTGACCAGAGAAAGGACTTTTCCCAGAAGTAGACACAGCGTTTTCCAGACAACCAGATGAGAAGTACTGCTTTTCCCTATCAAACTTGGTCTCTTCTCGCCTTACACCAGGAACAGCCAACTGGTAGCCCAGACCTTCCACTTGTACTACTTTTTTGTAATTAAACTCACTAGTTACTTATATTTTACTGAGAATTTCAACCAAATTTCCCACTGAATTCCCCCTTTTTATATACCTATATAAAAGTCTGACTTGGATTGAGAATTCTGTGTCCTGCTGGGAAGAATAATTATGGTGAACAGAAAAAATGTGTAATGACCACGATTTTAAAAGTGAGTGCAGAGAAATCTGGAAACAGACCCATTTCAACACATCTGGGTAAGGTTTCCCCAAAGCATTAGGATATTACACAAAAATCTTTCCTATTCTGTTTTAGCTAGGCTCAGTAGTTTCTAGATGCTGGTGCATCTCAAGAGAAACCAACGTAAATTGTCCTCCTTCACTCCCATATTTCAGTCAAGCTGAAAGATGCTTTCAGAACTGTATCTACTCCCTGCAAAATTCTGTGTAGGACAAACTGTGTCTGAACAATGCTGAGACTGAAACTCCTGTGTGACCTTGGAGCCATTATTAGGCTCAGGTAAAGATTAGGAGGACAATATGACTTCATGTCAGGAGGAGGTGAGACTCAGTGGACATGACCCATGATTTTCCTTGAGAGGTCTGACCTAAAAAGTCCCTTTTGCCTGCCTTAACTAACAATTCCTCAGCAACGTGCACAAGAGTTTCTAAAGGGTTGCTGTTGCTCACCCATCTGTTGAGTTTGTGAATGACTGCTTTGGGTGCAATTCATCTTCATCCCTCCTCTTTCCATTTTCAGAGTGGCTCGTTCCAATGCACGCTGCATCAGGCAATACTTTAGATCATCCACATGGATCGTGGAAGGAAATGTTATGACCTAGGGGAGGGAACTTCATCAATGATCTGGACAAGGGGATCGAGTGCACCCTCAGTAAGTTTGCAGATGACACCAAGTTGGACAGGAGCATTGATCTGCTGGAGGGTAGGAAGGCTCTACAGAGGGATCTGGCCAGGCCGGATTGATAGGCCGAGGCTTAACAAGGCTCAGCCGGGGGTTGTGTATTTGGGACACCACACCCCGAGACAGTGTTAGGGTTGGGGAAGAGTGTGCTCGTGCTCTCCAGCCCGGCAGAAAAGGACCT